ATTAATAACATCATTACATCTATAAATATCACGATTATTATTTTCACTATGACAACCAGTCTGGCCAATGTGGTCTCTCTCTCCTCCATCCACCTCTCCTCTCTCCCCCAAGTTTTCTCAGCTCAACCCAACTGGTGCAAGCAGATGACCGCCCACATTGAGTCTGAATCTGCAACAGGTTACTTCATGTTATAAGAGAGTTTTCTACTATGTCTTTGTCAATAAAAGGAACAATAAAACACCTCAGATTTAGAAATAATTTTTTACAAAAGCCAAAGCTGCATGGGTTACAGAATTATCAAATGTATTACTGGTTGGCAAATATTAAAAACATATTGTGAAACACGTGATGAATTAAGTGATACATCCAGCTTTGAAACTCCTGCTTGGCTGTGAACTGAATCTAGCTCTCTGTCATTTGGTCGGTTGTTCAAAAAAGGTATTTTGAGCATTAGACATCAGTATAAACAAGGCATTTTTATGTTATTTGACTAAATCAAGAATGAGTTTGCTTTACCAAAACCTTTTCCCGCTATCTACAAATTAGGCACTTTATACAAATTCAGTTTCCCCAATTTCCCTCCCTGCCAACTGCTCTTGACTTAATCTAAGAAAGCCGGAGGTGATGGGAATAGTGTCCAGGCTCTAATCAACTAAATTTAATATGGAAGATTCAGCACTCATTTTTGCAAGTCATGCCCTTAATCAGAGTAAGAATGTGCATGTCTAACATCAAGCTCTATATAAGCAGGCACCTGCCAGCCTTTACCACACATTTTTGGTCATGTCCCGGCCTAACTACATTCTGGTTCTCTATATTTGAGGTTTACGCTGAGATTGCATTTCCTACCACTGAATCATGCCGTTTTCTTGGACTCTTTGGTGTACCATCAGAGGATCTTATCCTGACAAAAGAACAATGAAACAGTATGGCATACTCAGCGCTCTCAAGACTCACTCTCTTGAATTCGAAGGGTGTTCACCCCCCCCTATTTTAGCTATTCTGCTGAATTCGTCTCATTCAGTTTAAATCTTACACTTTTCTTGTCTACATGTATTCAGAGCATAGGTGTCTCTTTGCTATGCATGTATGTTGCTTTAAAAACTCAATAAAAACAATACCTTGACCATTACAGGGAGATTTGTTTCTCCCTAGTCGTCACAGAGTCTCATTAGTTTTATAAGGTCTCAACCTTACTATGTTTAGAGCCTTTAGATAATGTATGTCATGATTTAGCACTATACAAATACAATTGAATTTTGTTCATCTGTGCTTGTAGCAGGTTACTCAGCTCTCTCATATTGTGACAAACCACTCAAACATGTTTAATTGTCATAAAAGATTATGTTGAAAACTGTCTTAGAGACACCCGACTCACCCTCCAGCCATCCCAATGTGTCATCCAACTTCAGGTCAACACGCCTGCCCTCACTGAGATGCCGGGAGATAACTGGTCGGTTCCCCCTATAGTCTGCCACTGTCCCAGTATACAGCTCTCCATCTGAGAAACATACAAACACATAGAAAATAAAAAGCAGATAATGCCCCTTTAAACATAATTACAGGGTCTGGGTTCTAAACAGGACCCGGCCTGAGCTTTTCTCTGAAGATTTCAGAAGATTCAAATCTATCTCCAAAATTGAATGAGTCCAACTGAACACACACACACAGATTTCATTTTCACCTGAAAACAAATAACACTTTGCATTTATTTAACATTTTTCAGATCAAGATGCATAATGCAATTGGTCATGCCTTGGCTGTGTCCTTATTAATCCAGGAGCTCTACACGCAAATTGAGTGAGCATAGATTGAATGAAGATAAAGTTATATGTTCACTTCCATGTCAGCAAATCTAGACATCACTTTTCTAAGGTATGTTGACATTGCTGCTGATGTGAGATTTGCACCCACACCATCCTAATAAAGCTCCTCTCTAGGTTCTATGGTATCTGACTGCCTGTGCATCAAACCTTTGTTGTTTTATATCTTTTACAATTGAAGGTTTTTATGGAACACTTATGTCGTGCAATCACAAATAACACTGTTGGTTTAATGTTTATAATAAAATCGATCTTCAATTGACCATCTCAAATTTGCATCTCCACTTTCCTGAAATGTTTGCACGCATGTGTCAGAGTTAGTAGAGACAAGTATGCACATTCTCTACCAAAGTTTGTTTTTATGGATCCTTACTTTAGCATGAGAAGTGGCGTATGCATCTTTCACACCCACGTTTGTGCACGCAACAGTTAAGAATGAGGCCCCTTGTCATCTCCAGCTCCATGAAAAATTTCATAATGATTTTCAGAGAGTGACATATCGACCATTATATCCCCCTGCATTATATGCAAAGGGATAACCAGTTCTTGGTCTAATCCAACTAGAAATCAGACTTAAATGGAATGTGTGTGTAAATGGGTGAATAGCAAAACTCTATTGTGAAGCTCTTTGAGTGGTCATCAAGACAATAGGCACATAAATATAACTCCAAACAAACGTCATCTCTAAACTCTAGACACATTAAACTAGCCTCAGCTAACATTGCATTCTAGCAGCTGTGCCTTACCTACGATGATAGCAGTGTTGCGTTGGTAGGGGTCATAGGGACACCGACCTCTGCCTTCATCAGGCTTGATGCTCATCGATAACGTCTCTGAGTCCTGAAAAGAAAAGTGGACAAAGTCATGCTGATAGACACAAGAATAAATCAATCAATCAATTCACACTAAGCACAACTTACTCCTTTGAACTAAAATGCATCATTACCAGTCTGCCCCAATGTTGAACAAATCAATCAGCTCAAATCAGTTCAAATGTTTGAGCAACAAACTTACAACATAGGTGCAGCGTGGGCTGAAGGCAAATGTTCCACAAGCGTAGATATGGGAGGCGTTCAAGTACTGCAGTACACGGATGAAATTGGGACAGTCAGCCTAGAACAAGCAGATGAAGGACATAAAGTCAGATGTTTCCCTAACAGCAAGCAGTGTGTGCCTAATGCAGGACTTCAATCCAAATGTTTAAAGAACAGACAGGGATCTACTATCATAGTATGCTTCACCTACAATGAATTCAAAGGGGTTGAATAACATATAATAACTGTTTACAGTGTCATCAGTATGGTTGACATGTTACAGACGTGTCTGGTTTGGTTGGAGTCCAAAGCAAAAATGTTGAACTTTGAAGTATTTGTGCATCTGCGCAAATCGGCTACTTGCCATTTTCTTGCCTTTCATGGAACATTGCTCTACATCTTTGTCTGAAGGGCTCCAGTCCAGCTGAGAGAAGAGAAAATGTACACTCATCAGAGATCCATATCAGTCTTAACCACAAGCTACAGCTGAACTATGAAAACTGTACAGCAAACACATTCTTACAATTCCCATTTCAATGCAAAGTGGTGGAGAGGAAGATCTCTGTAAATGTATCACTTTAAACTAATTTTATCAGAATGTTTTTGTGCATGAGGTGTATTTAGTTTGTAGGAGGATATACTGGGAGAAACACAGTTCTCATTACCATTAACATTTAATTATTATCACACCTTTGTTTCACAGACTGACAACGTACTTCATATTAAGACCACTCACATCTCATATCACAATAAAGCCACAGTAGAGCAACAACCAGGAACTGTGCCTTTGCTTCTAATTGAACAGAGAATCAATTGGGATTTGAACCGTGATATCAAATATTATCATAATACAGAGGTCCAGTTGTCTCATATCCTATCATCTTATTTGACTGTTACCTCCACTAAGGTGTGTTTGTTTGTCAACAGGATTGAACAAAACTACTGAACTACTGAAAGGGTACAGAAAACTTGGTGGAAGAATAGGACATACACAAAGATCTCTTTTGCATGTTTCACCAGTGGACAGATGTAAGGACACAATGTGATTTAGGTATGCATGCTTTAAGCTTCCAACACCTCATGTAACATTGACAGTGACAGCAATTCTAGCCAGTCATTGATGTGCTGTTAGAATGGGTGATGCAAGGAGAGGAAGATATATGGGGATGCTGTGGGAGAAATCTTCAGACTAGGGGGTGACAATTGCTCATGTTACTCTGTTAGCGTTTGTATATTGTTGCAGCTTCTGGTCTCCTTGATGCATCAAGTCTACATTAAAATCTTCTGCATAAGACATCAGATGCAACTTCAATAACACTAACACAAATTCAGTTTAACTGAAACTGTTTTAAATGCTTTTACTCTAAACAATTGACATATAAAACTTTATTTAGTCTCTAACTGGCAGTCAAACTACTTTCTGATCTTTCATGTCAACTGAGATTCTAACTGCTGTCAGTGCTTACATACCAACTGACACTTCAGCTGCTTACAGTATAAACAAAACAACTGTCTCCACCACTTCCACTTAAAACTTTTTCAAACCTTTTGTTATAAAGTCCAATGATGCCCTGAATACAATACAGAGACACATTATAAGAAACAATCTGTAAATGTAAAATCTAATATGAACAGTGAGACAACAAACAATATTAAGTACATAAAGAAATAAAAGCAGCATCCTCAATTGAAACACACATTTACACAGTTCTGTGAGATTGAATGAAAACTGGGATTATTTTATTATACCACTTGGATTGCACTGTGGAGCATGGAAATATAAAAGCCAGGTTGCCTGGCTCTGTGCTAACAGTTTGATTCACAAGAACCACATCATCTTGGAATTCACTGCAGTGTGAAGTTGAGCTGTAGTTATTAAGACTTGTCAGGTACCCAGAACAATTGTCAGTAAGTGATCTGTAGATTATGATCTCTCAGTCAGCGACTGCCAGCACACTCTGTGATACAGAATGCAACTTTGAGTCCTAAAGCCATCCCCAGTTATGACTTAAAGGACAAAATCTAAAACTGCATCTAGAGGTTTGAGACTTGAAGCAGAAGATTATGAATAAATTACATCGCCATAATCCTTGATGGTTACCTCTTTCCCCAAGGACCACATGTGCTCCTAAAATGAAGTTTGGGAGAACTTTAGGGGCGCAAAGAAAATCTATACAAATACCAAACAAGGATATATTTACTAGCAAAAAAATGTAATGATAATTTAATTAGAAAAAGTTGGGAGTATTTTAGACAGAGACCCATCAATGTGGTGCTCACCAATATGGTGTTCTGTCAGCTCTGACTTTCTAAATGGTACCTCATTAGTCCAATGACATTCTGAACTGCTGCTCTAATTGCAATATTACATTACACAATGTGTTATTTTGCCATTTTATATTTTCTGTTTAGTTAAATGGTCATGTAAGCAGAGAAAACTAATTAAACAATTAAATATGGAAGTTGTTTTAAAATTGTCAAATGTGAAGCCAACCAAACTGCCCATTCAAAAATGGGTACAGCACTAGCATCGAAGATAATGCTATATCAGAGGTGCCGCACTGATTGAAATGACATTTTGTTGTTACATGAAAACTACAGTTTGTAGGCTAGGCTAGGCTACAGGCGGTAATAGAATGTGCTGGGCCTCCAGATCAACACAGAGCTTTGTGACCATCACAGAATACTAAATTGATGATGACTGGGAAATTGAAAACGTAGTCCTTCAAACTTGCCTTCAAATGAAACTTTTGCATAGTTGCCAAATTAAATATTGGTTTAATGGAAACTGAACAGATCAATGCTGTAACAAAATTGGTTTCAATCGAAAAGCAACTCAAATTGTCGATTTGGAGAATCAAGCCCCCCCCCCCTCCACTATATTGGTTCTTGTCAATATTCTGCAAAATACAGTCTGAAAACTTTGACTTCTTACACTTTGCTCTGTTTGTATTCATGGCTTAAACCTTTATCAAAATCCAGAAAACTAATGCTGTGAGGCAGATGTGTGGTAGAAATGTCACATTCATTAAAGCTAACATTGTCATTGTCGAGTTTTATTTCAGCAGATCTGAGTGGACCTTTGCAAAGGGACTTCACAACATATAGGTGTCGGTGAGAAAGAAGTGCCTAGTGTTGTAAGAGTGTGTATTTTAAGTAGGTAAAAGTGTTATCTGCCCAAGATACAACCTGTGAGAAAAAACTGTTGTTAGGTAGTTGAGATTACAACCTGGTTTCTGTGCAAGATGTTTCTGGATTGTACAAAGTAGCACAGCCACTCAGTGTCTGAAAGCGCCTCCTTATTTTAGTCCATCTAATTTCATTGTTCACACACAAACTGAAATTTGTCAGCCAACTGGGGTTAAAACTGACTAAGGTTATGGCAACAAACCTCAAATGGGTCAACAGAGAGAATGTGAAAATGGGACAGATTTCTCCTCCATAGTCAGGTCATCAACAGGTTTACAATGAAGGAGGGGTGACAGCTTGATGAGTTTTTTGTTTGAAATGAGAGGGTAGTTGAGAAAAACAGTACGGTAATCACATTGCAAGTTGTTCCAGAAGAAGGGGAGGAATCTAAGTTTAAGTTTATTTTGTCTCATCATCTTTGGAAAGTCCACCATTGGGAATATTTTTGCTATTTTTGTTCTATAAACATTGTTGTGAACAAATTAATCAAGGAAAGAGCTCCACAAGTGTTTTTTAAATATGTGAGTTTCAAACCTTCCCTAAAATAGGCAACTAAAGATTAGACAGAAAAATTAGCCAAGCAGTTGCCAGAATAGCACAACTTCACCTGTTAAATGGTTTGTATTTATATAGCCCTTTTCTAGTCTTGATGACCACCCAAAACGCTTCACAGTACAGTTTGCTAGTCACCCATTCACACACACATTCATACAGTGCATCTATTAGCAGCTATTAGCTTTTTTTCTGAGGGGATATCTTGCTGAAGGACACATCAGCATGCAGATGGGAAAGACTGGGATCGAACTACAGACCTTCTGGTTGGAGGGCGGCCGCGTCCAGACCCAGTTCTCCAGATAATAATAGCTGTACTGTAAGAGGAAGTTCCTTGTTTTGTTGTGGTTGTGCTGCAGTAACACTAATGAGTTGGCTACACACCTTATGTTTAGGGTTCGAGACCGCAGGGCCAGAATCCTATTGTTTCTGCTACGGTTTGATATTATTATTATTTTTTGGTGTCTGCCGCCTCTATACCGTACAGTAGAATAGCTGTGTTTATGCATTTTAGGTTTTGCACACAGGGAGCACCAAAAACATTCCTATTGAGCTGCTTCCTCTAATGAAGCTGCTTCCTGTGGTTGGCTGTTACTGAGGGGGTTTGGTGGTAGTCCTCCAACCAGAGGGTCAGAAGCACGAATACCAGCCCATGCCGAATTGTCCTTGGGAAAGATGTCTTCCCTTTGGATAAAAGTCAGCTAAATGAACATGTAATGTGCTGCTTCCTCTAATCAAGCGAATTAAGGCTCAAACCCACTTGCTGCTATATTTCATTTATTTGAATTTGGAGTTAATATTTTAAAAAGCACCATTTAACTTAATGTTTTTTTCCCACTAATTAAAGCACCTTTTAAAGCATTACTTTGTGACTTTAGAATAAAACAGCAAATTTTTGTATTTTGTAAATTGTCTGGATCTCTCACATTTTTGTATCTGGTTGACGCCTTGGTGTTCTTTTAAAGAAGAGAACGGAGATACATTGAATTGAGAATTCATGACATCATGATCTGAGATTGATTAATTAACACCCAGAGAGGGAGTGAGTCTTCATTCAGTGCTCAGGACACTGTTCCTCTACTTTATCTTTACATAGAAACTAGAAGGTTGTTGTTAGTGCCTACATTAATGCTTAAAACCTCTCATAGACAGCCTTTAAGTCATGATATTTAGTACTGCAGTAGAAGGAAATTGGTCAGCCTCTGACCACTGGCCCACCTTGGTCTTCAGTATGATGGCGTCCTTGTGGCTAACATCCAGTGCTAACACAGCATCTCTGGCTCCTACATACAGCATGTCTCCACCCTCACTGAGAAGCAATGTGGTGGTGTTGCAGACATCATGGCTACTGAAGCGGGTGAGTCGTCTCCCAGGACTACCTGTTGTACACAGCACAGCAGTTAACACTGGGATTAGGTTTTTCATTCAGTTTCCACAGACAATTAAAAACATCCAGATAAGCAGTTTGCTGATCTACAGAGATTCATTGTTCATGTTGTTATTCATGTGAAACAACCCTGAATGTATGCAATATTTTCTGTACATATGCTCTGGATAATTGTTCAACTAAAACACATTTGTAAGGTCAAATATAATCTAGTCCATCTACCAGTAACAAAACAATTCCTGTGTGGGAATGGGATGCAACGGCATTTTATTTAGTGTGTAATATCTGAATCCATTTCAAATCCTATAATTTTTACTAACATTTAAACCGGTCCAACATGTTTGTTGTTAACAAAAGTCTCACTGAATTAAAACAAGCTTCTTTTTTATCTTAGTTTAGATTTCTCACTCTGCTGATGCAAATGTCAAAGTGAGAGGCAAAGAAGGTAAACTATAGAGGCCAGAGCATCCTCCAAGAGGGACAGTCAGGAAACAAAGCCGCAGGGAAATGGAGGTTATAGAGTCACAAGAGGAATTTAGATCACATCTTTTAAGATTGTATCTCTAAAAAGGTGAGTGTTGCTTTGCAAACACAATAAGGCAACAAAGGGCTGAAGGAGCTCTTGGCAGCAGCAGAATATTCAGTCCATGCACACCTCCCTCATCTATGTTTGAAAAGGGGCCTATACTACAAAGCAAGTTCAAGATACCCAGAATATCTTTCATTAACTGGGTTTACTGGAACTACCATTGGCCGTCCTGGATGAGTGACATCATCAGAACCATGAATTAAGAACCTAATACAGTGTTTTCCCTACATTCATTTTGCAGCTGTATTACCCTCCCGCATGTCCTCACTCCCGCGCTGAACTGAGTTCACTTTACACGTCAACAATAAACACCATCACTAATCACAAGCTATTACGATCTGAACAGTACTGAAGTTTACTTTGTGTTTTTTTTGACTAGCTTAAGTTTATGAGAGATGTATTTTGACAACATTTTGTGCACATGCAGTTCACCTGCCACACACAACACGAAATGGAACGCGCATAGCCAGGACATCAGGGTTAGATCACCTGCTAGCAGAGTTGATTTTAGTGACATCCAACAGCAGTATTCAAAAAAAGTTTTTTTTAAATAGATATAATTTAACAGTCTTTGAGGGTTGCTTCAAATAAGAATGTGCATTTTATTGAGTTTTTATTGAGAATTGTACATGCAAATGTTAAACTGTTTCTGATGCTAAAGCAGAGAAGAGAGAAGTAATTCATGTGTGATGAATTCAGTCTGAATGAAATGTTCATTTATAATTATGGAACAATTGAACAATGTGTGGATCATTCAAGTATAGAAGAAATCAGTGTCATAGAAAAGCACTAAGTTGGCAACACTGACTATCACAGACACTGTTATTTCCCTATCAAACCCTTTTTCAAGCATTTGGAGCTGTACCACCCACCTCAATATCTGCAGTCTGCCCTTGCCATTAGTGGGCGATGGAGCTTAATGAATCTAGGTATGTTACCAAAACATGGAACCAGATCACACATGGAACCTGCTATTGGAACCCATCCCTAGGCCTAATGGTTTTTGTCACGTCTTAAATGGCCAACAGGAAAAAGAAAGACAAGTCTTTACTCACCCATTGGGAAGGAGACTCTAGGAGTGAGTCTTGCCAGACACAGGCTCAGACAACCCAGCAAGACCACAGTGAGGGACAGCAGGCTGTGACTCTTCATTGCAGCAGGAATGAGGGAGTCTGACACCAGTCACATTTATGGTCAGAGGGCGACACTGGGTCTGTTCCCCCAGTTTGTCAAAGACTCTGTAGGAGGGGTGGAGGTCCTTGCTGAAGCCATATACTCTGGATTGTGCAGCAGATCATTGTTGAATCTACACACACACACACACACACACACACACACACACAGAGAGGTATGTTTCAGGGCAACAGCAAACATGTTCTTACAGGGTGTTCTCTGAGTGACAAGTCTTAATTTCAGGTTTTTTTGGTTAAATCGTTATTTAAATCCCAGGAACTTTCGTCCCAGTTTTACTATGTGTTATGTTCACTTAAGCAATCAGTTGTCTATCAAAGCTTGCGTTCAATTTTAATTTACCCTTTAAATTAAAAAATTTTTTTTTTTAATTTATCCATATTTCCAACAGGCATTGGGTAGAAGCTGCCATGATGCTGAGTCACTTTGTGATTTAAGGCAACATTAAAAACAGGTGATCAGTGTGTCACTGCTGACTACTGGTGTGCTGCTGCTGAATCACTGCCATGTGTCATGTGTTCCATATGCAGATGGAGTAATCCTGAAATATGTACTGACATCTCCTGCTGTACAAGCAGGTTGTGGGCAGCAGTCACTCATGTTCTGACAGCAACTCCTAGTTAAAGGTACCATTTTAAGTGTTGTACCATAGACCATATATAAAGACGGACGACATCTATATGTTCCTAAAAGTGAAGCCAAAGCATCTTGAATGCCCCCTAATAGCTGGCTGCAGTAGAGGTCATAAACCCTGTCTCATAAATGTTAGTGGATGGGACATGGACTAAATTAAAGTTGAAAATACACTTACATTTTTTTTGTTTCTCAAAGAAAGTCTCTCAATTCATGTAGTTTGTATCACACTGATGTATGCTATGTTCATGCACTGACGAGCAATTGGTCAAGCACATTTTTCTGCTGGATCTCAATATTGTGGCTATATCCACCAATCATTACTGTGCTGACTCTGGTTCCAGATTACATAAATTGGACAAGATGGCTACGGTAATATCCATATATTCATTTCTGGATAGTGGGGGGAAGTAAAGATGTGTTGTCCATCTTTATTTACACTGTCTGCATTATACTCTGACTATGCACACTGTTGACATAAACTGGATCATTTGAAATATCTTTATATAGACAGCAGTTCAATTCATCACCACTGACCACAGCATCAGCGGTGCATGCGTTTGTGTCTTTCTATGATTGTAAAGTTTTCGTTTAAAAACTTTTGTTTTTTGATCAGTCCTCACAACTTGAGCTTTTGAGAGTTAAGACGTGTTTTTTTGTGATTAAGATTTTTTTCTTAAATAAATACGCTAAGGGTAAAGGGAAATCATTACGTCAAGCAGGGTCTTCACAACTGTAAAAAGACAAACGTGTGTGTGTGTGTGTGTGTGTGTGAGTTATCTGTAAAGGACGTCCCGCTGATGAAACACGTGGTGGCGACGTTTAGCTCCGCATTGAGCCTGAAATCCTGCTCCAACACTGAGGTTTTGCATTATTGCTTCACCTTGATGCTTCCTTTTCTCAGAACCAGTGATTTCTCTTGTTGTGCAACAGGCAGCGGCCGTCACATTAAGCGAGTGTCTGCAAATGTTCCAGAGAAACAACACTCCTCCAGCTGATGCAGAGCTGTGATCTTACATGTTTGCGGGTGGCCTCCGTCACTCCTTTCGCCCCACTTCTTCTTCCTTGACCGCTCGGACACACAGGCTGCAGTCTCCTTCCTCGCTGTCTCTGCTCCGGTGAAAATAGGACAGACGACACGTTAGCCGGTGGGAAGGAAACGCTGGCCGTGGTTAAGCCTATACTATAACAACAAAGCCTTGGTGCCTCCTCCCATCTGAAGGTCCAACGGGCTCCAGACTCCACCTAGAGGCGTGCCCCGCACATTACAGCCAGGGTCGTTTGGACCCCTCTCTGGCCCCGAACTAATGTTGTTGAGCCACCTCTAAAGTGTGACACTGAATCTAAGACACCCCTGCCTATTAGGACAGACATGCCCAGCTCCGACTGGTGCCCATAGTACACAACTACTCAGGTCACAGTAGGCTTTCACACAAGAAAAATGTCATACATTCAGCCCTGCAAAAGGAGGTGCCCCTGATTTAGCTAATCATTATTAGACTCCAGTTAATAGGTGGTGCATTTGTAGTCCCATCCTGTTAGATATGCAAAAATTACAATTTGGGAATATTACGCCTGTCAAAATGATAATTTACATGTGAAGGCTCAGTTTTGTGCTTTGTATAGGCTTTGTGTCACATACAGGGAGTTAGGTTCTTAGGTTTATATTCAACTCAAGGCTTCACTTATTAGTTTTTCCCCTCAGAGCTTTCATCTCTCGGAGTAGAGAAGAGCTCAGAGAGCAACAGTTTACCATTCACCAATAGACTGTGTGATGTAGTCTTGGAAAAAAAGTAAGTAGACCTTGAGTTAAGATCATTTTGTCAAACTACTTTTTTCTCCTTAAGCGATGAGCTATTGATGCATCATCTGTAATATTAGCATACAGTGAGGACAGTGTTTTTGATACAGTTAAAAGCCTTTGACTGTGGTCACCAGTGTGTAATCTGTGTAGGTACCTGTTAGGTATGTTGACGCTGTCCTTAATCTCTGTCTTGATATTTTGCTGAAGAATCTTCTGATGTTGTCTTCCAACACGTTGTCTCATCTCCTCAGATTCCTTCCCATACAAGCTGTTACTGAAGAATTGGTTAAAGCATACTGACACGCTCAACAACAAGAAGGCACACAGAGGATTTTGCTCTCTGAGACAATCCTTTCTTGGTTCTTCAGAAAGCTTATTCTATTTATTCACTATCTAGCTTTATCTTAGAGTTCTGCTGTTGATCAAAATATCTGTCTGTCTTCCTGTCATGTCACACCATTACAGATTAGAATTCAGCGGTAACTGCAATACCAAACTTTGGTTCAAACTATGGCATGTAAAATTTGTAATAGACAGGCTTCATGGTGAGAGCAGCAGGGAAATGAGTGGGTAAGGCTAATGGCTAATGAGTAGAAAAGAAGATTGGAGAGGATTAGCAGTGACCTGGAAACAGCCATGTGGTAACAGGCTGTACACCTCCCAGCATCAAACATGAAGCTACTGGCTCACATGTTGATGTTGAGCAAAGAGTTTTTAATTGTATGTGAACACCAACCTGAAAACATGGAAGTGACATCCATTTTCCTGTGAAGTGTCAGTAAGGTTTACTGCTCAATTCATTTTCAAAAAAAGTAATTATTTAATTTAGTGTGTGCAACAACTGCTAAATAGTAGTGTGTGTGTATGTGTGTGCATGTGGGGGATTAATATATTAATATACAATAAATATAAGTATATATTTATATGACATTTGAAGGTGACTTTCTTAGATTACAGTGACTGTCTAATATTGTATTCTACAAATGGCTGCTTTTCATCATTAAAACAGTTTCACACATGTCCCACATAGGAGCTATTACATGCATGAATGAGGTGGAAAAAGAACAAGTTAAGATTTTTTCAGTCTAAAGCTTGTGATGTTCAGGATTCAAACCTTGATCTGCTCTTACATATATATATATGCAGTTTATTCAGTTTGAAGTGTAATGTGTAACTGATGAACTGTGAGCTTGAAACATTTCCATTTTTATCTAACCAAATGTGGAGGGAGATATGATGACACTCCTATGGCTGCTCAGTTCACAGTGATCTTTGCTTCAGCTACTCTTCACAGAATCATACAGCTATGGTGAATCCCTGTGGATTTAACCTCATCATTCTGCTGTCTTTGGCAGCAGGCATGATTGCTGGTAAGTTCACTGCACTTTTCGAGGAGTTCTAAAATGAAAGATGAAAATGTGTCTCCTTATATATTGCGTTTTAAAAAAAAGACAATTAAAACACTGCAAATAACACTGTGACTGCTCCACTTTGATAACATTCATACATTTTGAGCATTTTACACTAACAACTGAAAACCAGTGGACTGAAAAATTAAGTTTTATCTGTTGGGGTGTTTTTGTTTTTACAGTTTGGAGCATTCAGAGGACTTCAAGCAGATTGAATGTAGGGAACAGGTAAGACATCGCATCATGCAATAACACTGCTGTTTTTAAGCCTCGCTTAGAAATGACATGACTATTCTTATGACCTTCGATGGAACTAAAACTATATACCACTGTAAAATAACATTGTATTAATGGGATTAATACAATGCTACAAAACTGTCATAACTACTTCAACTTGGAAATAATAAATATAAAGAACATCAGGGTTTCATGAGTATTATAGCTACATCAGAGAGATAAACTAATATTTGAATGTGGTTTAACTGTTCCCCACTATCATGTCTGACAGATTAGAGATATGTTTTCATCATAATCAAGAGGTTCTTTGAAAACATGGAGACGAGGAAAGGTCCAGACTGGAATATTTCAGCTTTTTAAACTCTGGTGATTACCTGAATTTTCATCTGCTCCCATCATCAGGTCAATTGTCCAGAATTTAGGAAATTAGGATAGTGAGATGGTGAACATAACATGAATACAGTCATTAGCATTTAGCTTGAAGCACATTCTCAGAGAGATGTTAAAACATGCTCACAGAATCAACTCTACTATGTGGGACACTGACCCCATACTATTATACCCCAATACTAATACTCTATTGATGAAAGATAACAGAACTCTGCATACACACCCAGGGGTTATATCATATACATGTATTGAAAAACATTGGGAAGCAGATGCCATGATAGGGCCTGTGACTGGCTCCTTTATAGACTGTACATACACTTCATTCTACTTTATTTTATATACTCCACCATCAATGAAATATCAACATTATTAAATGGAACACTGCGTTTATCAAAGGGAATATTACCATTCACTTAAATAAAATACTTCTATATTTGATCTATGGGAGATGATTTACCGGCTCATTATTTATCCACCACTCTGTTTCTAGGGCCTATCTTCAGATGATTCCTCCAAGGATTGACAGACCACACTCTGATCCCGGAGATTCTAGAAAGTGGCAGGCTCATCTTTACAGGGACACCAAGTCCAAACAAATGAGAGTCATTAATAATAGTGTAGATTTGTGGTTTACAGACAATAAATACAGCTATGAGAGTATAGTTATTATGGAAGAGGACCCTGCAGTTATTGCTTCAGCCACTTACCTGTATGAGAGGAATCCCAGTGCATCAACTCTGCTTTGGTACAAGAAGGGGGCATTGTTTGTTCTTAGAGGAAGTAGTTCTTTTCCTACTAAAGATCATGGTGTCACACTGGTTGGCCATGGCAGCAAAGTTACCAATGAAACAACAAGACTGGCTGGTTATGACTCAGAAAATCTTGCCAGATTTGTGTCAATCTTAAAAACTCTACGCACCTTTGGTCATCTTAGCACCATTAGCCTCATCAGTTGCAACATTGGAAATGACCAACACTTTATGTTGCAACTCCTTCAAGTTCTCCGGTCTCTCGATATAGAAACAAAGCTTCACCTGTACAACTCTTTCCTGTCTGTGAGCTCTGATGGTGAGATAATCACCAGAAATGATGGGGTCTGGAGGTCCCATGACCTTAGCAGAAGAGTCATTGCTGAACTGGACCATACCTGCTGCAACCTGCTGACCAAAGTGGAACTTGGCTGCACAGGGCCAGTGATCCCTGATTATAAAGGAAATATTTTGTCTCTTCAGACATTTGAGTGGCCAAGCCATCCTCAAATGTTTGTTCCAATAGAACTGCGCAAAAAGTACCCTTATATAGACTGCCTTGAAGGGTTTACTTGGAGCTTGTTCTTTGAGGAGAATGAAAGAAGGCGTGCTCCTGATTATGTCCCGGACCATGATTTAAGACACATGAGGGCAATATGGCTTATAAAGCCAGGACCCAAAGAAGAAGAAAACATTGTCTTCAAGCATATTGTTAACATTCAGGATCTACTAGTGGAGATTAGATATAATGCCAGAGAGGATGTTGCAACTGATCTTCACTATGTTCTCAATGAATGCATTTACAAAGTAAATAGGAAAGATCTTAATGTAAGTCTGGTAGGCAAGTTTATTATGACTGGAAATCAGGCTGAGATTGAACGTTTCCATCAGAATTTCAATGAGCAACAGAATAAGTTCTCCCTGCAAGAGCTGAGACAGGGTCTCAAAGCATCCGAATTCAATGACTTCTGTCAACAGACTTTCCAGTTCCAGCAGTGTAATTACAACTGTGAAAGATGGGGTCATTACTTCATGGCAGCAGTGTTTTCAGCATCTGTGCGTAACTTCAGAATCTTCTCACTTTTTCTCATGAGTGTCATAGGCTGTGAAGTAGGCCGCTCACGGGGGATTGACAGCCCCCTATGCACAGCATTTGCTGGAGATGACCACCCCATGGTTGATGAGCAACCCTGGACTGATCATCTGCATCGAGGATTCTATGGCTGCGCTGTTGTCAACTATGAAATGGTTCCACAAAACAGACAGATTTGGTTAAATCAAGTTGTTGCAAAGGAAAATGCGCTTTACATCAAATCAAAGCAGATGATGAATCCTATCAACCAAGACGAGCAAACAGAACTGGACATCTTTGGGCGGGTAAAAGTCATGAATAAGTACATTTTCTCATCTTATCTAGAATTCTTTCGAGGTACACCTGAGGGAAAGAAGCTTAAGAGAGGATGTACTCCCATGTTCCATGAAAATCAAAATCCATAATATTAGTATAACCTACATTCATGTTATTCATAGCATCTAGTACACTGCTCAAAAAAACTAAAGGTACAGTGTGTAGAATTTTGTGATATCTAGTGTTGAAATTGCATGTTGCAGCTGAACACCCCTCACCTCGGCCTTCCCTTCCAAACATGAAAAAGAACCTGTGGCAGACTTCAGTTGTCATAAAAACTCAAAAGGTGTTTTGTTTGTCGAGTTTGGAATACTGTAAAAAAACATGGCAGCCTCTGTAGAGAGGACCCCCTCTATGTAAATATTTAAGTATTTCAATATAAAGGGCCTTTTCTGGAGTAAAGTAAACTACAATTCATAGAATTTAGATGAAATGAACTAGTGAAAACATCATGAGGATTATTCTACAATAAATTTCTGCCAATCGTTCACCTAAATCTTACACACTGGACCTTTAAAGGAACACTTAATCGTCACAGTATAACAGCAAGTCATTTAAATCCATCTGTCCATTTAGGAAGCACAAGTGATAATGAATCAGTCTTATCAAACTGTCAGAAACACTCCATGAGGATGGCTTGAGGGCCTGATGACCTTTAGTGTGACCTGTGCTCACAGGCCAGCACCATGCAGTTCGATTGGCATTTGCCAGAAAACACCTGGCAGGTCCACCATTGGCACCCTGTTCTCTTCACAGATGAGAGCACATTCACACTGAGCACATGTGACAGTTGTGAAAGAGCCTGTAGATGCCATGGTGAATGTTATGCTGCCTGTTACAACATCCAGCATGAGCGGTTTGGCGGTGAGTCAGTGATGGTCTGGGGAAGCATATCCTTGGAGGGTCACACAGACATCCATGTCATAGACAACGGTTCCCTGACTGCTGTTAGGTACCAGGATAAAATCCTCAGAGAGATTGTCAGACCTTATGCTGGTGCAGTGGGTCCTGGGTTCCTCCTGGAACAAGGACAATGCCCGGCCTCATGTGGCCAGATTGTGTAGGCAGTACCTTAATGATGAAGGCATTGATGCCACTGACTGGACCTCTTGCTCCCCTGACCTAAATCCAATTGAGCACCGATGGGAAATTATGTATTGTGCATCCGACACCACCAAGTACCACCACATACATAGGAGCTCACAGATGCCCTGATCCAGGTCTGGGAGGATATCCCCCAGGATACCATCTGCCCATTCATCATGACAAGCCAAGACTTTGTTGGGTGTGCATACAGGCATGTGGGGGCCATACACAGTAACATTATGAGTTGCTGTGATAAAAGTCACACAAGTTGGATCTGATCACCCTGTGATTTCAGTTTTTTTCCTTGATTTTCTGTGTGATTTTGAATCTAGCCCTCACTGGGTTGATGATATTGGTTTCCATTGACCGTTGTTTCATCATTTTGGTTTCAACAAATTCCAGAATGTACATCAGTAAAGATTTTCAACATGAATAATTTGTTCATTAAGATCTGATGGGTGATTTAAGTCTTCCCTTAATTATTTTGAGGAGTGTATTTTGAACAGATGTGTTGGACGCTCATATAGACTAAGCTTGCTGGCACCCATTAGATAATATTTTAATAAATATAGAATGGAAATTTGATCTTTATCAACTTAATAAAAAAAATTATGATAATGAATATAAACTACTGTTTTCTTCTAATTAATCCAATAAAATATTATTCAATAAAAATCCACTTTTTAATTTATATGTTTATTACATACAATTTTCTTATGGTGTCACAAAGGTCAGAATACAGAGAATTACAAAATATAAATACAAAGAAAAAGCAGAATAACAGAGGATGAAGCATTATTATTTGAAACTTTCAAACCACACATTTTGAGATGTTTCTGTTTGGGAGGTTTCTCCAGATGAAACAGAATAAACACACTGAAATATTTGACATTTTTTAGTTTCAGTTTAACTACTAATGCATTTGAGTTTGAATTGAGATGATTACAATCACATACTTAAAGATTCAGACAAGGTTTTACACTGAAAAGGGCTAATGTCCTAGCCTTAGCATAATGCTTACGATATGACTAAACATATATTGTGAACTGTTAATAATAATTTATTATGGAGTCACAAAGGAATTCTATTTAAATGTTTCAAAGTTTCTGCAAGTCAATCGGTGGTTCTTCTTCTATGTTTATAATGATCTGATCTCCACGCAACCGGTGGTGCATGCTCACATATTAATGTGCCTGGAAAAGACTTAAGAATGAACATTTCTGACAAGCAAAGTTGAGTATACTATATTACTGTAGATAAACTATATGATTTGCATTTAAGCGGTTAACTAGTGATAAAAATGGACACCACAAGACCCTGCTCTTATTCCCTTTTCTAAAATTATAAATGATCTTCTCCATTTTGAGATATTGCTTTCATTTTAAAGCTCACATCTTGTGAGCTTTAAGCTGTTGGAAATTGTACTGAGGAAGCTGTGAAGGCCCCAACATTGGGAATTTCATCCTACGGTTATTTGTGACAGAAGGTACTATTAAAATTCAACATTAAATGTGGGAAACAAATTAAAAACTAAATTAGAGCAAATAATGGAAGGATAATGTTAACTGTAATTATGTCCAGCAGCCTATTGCACCAGTTAATTCAAAATCAGACAAACTAACTTATGCATCACCTACAATTGTCTGAGGGGTCAAATATGTGTCACACTAGTATGAGCACATGTAAAGGCAGAGGTATTATAGCCCATTAAGACCCACTCACTATCTCTGTGGGTCAACCAGCAATAATCAATTCAACCTCATGACCTCCTCCTGCCCAGGTTGTTCTGTTTTGGTGCACTGTTGTTGGAAATTATATGATACTGGTTGAAATTATTGAATTGGCCCACCAACAAAAATGAGAAAGAGAGAAATAAAGTACACCTGAGATTGAGAGAAAGCAAGCGTGCAGAATGTTGGACACATTTATTAAACTGTGTCTTTGTTTAGCTTCATCACAGGACAAAATGAGAAATGTTAACTAGCCTAATTTGTACTTTAACTGGTGCAAAGGAAGCTGGACAGTATACAGGCAGGAGCATGATATGGAAACCAGTCAGATGGAGACCACAGCATGATAACTTGTTATGTTTGTTGTGAGCAGAAAAAACTTTGCATCTTTGTATTCTGTCTGACACCTGAATAGGAGAATGATTTACGTTTTGTTACTGTGTTTGGTTAAATTCCAGAGTGGAAACTCAGAGCTCGCTGATGTGTTAGACAGAAAGCATACTCTTCACAGGAGGATGCAGCTGCATGAGGTGCCCTTCTGGCCGCTGAGGAGGCCATGCTGTGACGTGGCTATTGACTGGATTAAGTTCCAGAAATGCTTGAAAGAGATGCCCTCTCCATCACCTACACCCATCGTCTGCATGATCCCGCCCAGTCCCTGCTCTGTGCCAATGCCCTGTGGGAACACAACACAACATTATGACCTTTTTAAAACGCTTAGTGTTTGCTTCCTGAAACCTAACACCAATGGTTCATTTCTAATTGGCTCTTAATGTCAGTCATTTGGAACACTGTACTTGCTGCCTGAGCTTAGCAGACAAATGGGAACATTCTGATGTCACTAAATAAAAGTCAGAAAAGAAGAGATCACAATCAGACGACAGAGACAGAATTGTTACATTACCCAATGTAATTTATGACCAAAACTGTGATCATTTTATCTTCTTCTATGATGAGCTTAAAGGTACAGTGTTTAGAATTTTGTGATATCTAGTGTTGATATTGCATGTTGCAGCTGAATACCCCTCACCTCATCCTCCCCTTCCAAACATGAAAAAGAAACTGTGGTAGCCTTAAGTTGTCATAAAAACTCAAAAGGTATTTAGTTTGTCCAGTTTGGACGACTGTAAAAAACATGGCAGCCTCCATAGAGAGGACCTCCTTGATGTAAATATAAGGTATTTAAATATAAAGGGCCTTTTCTGGGGTAAAGAAAACTACAATTCATAGAATTTAGATGAAATTAACTAGTGAAAACATCATGAAGATTATTCCACATTAAATTTCTGCCAATAGTTCCCTTTCACCTAAATCTTACACAGTGGACCTTTAATTCACAGAAATGTCTTTTGGGTGGTAAAATTCCAAATTCATTCAATCAGAAAGAAAATGCATGATAGCTGTATGTGAAATGTGAAAACCAAATCATAAGTTCTCATCAAATGTAGTGTTTTCAAGGGTACAAAACAGAGGACAGTAATCGGAAATGGTCAGGGTAACACATACATGTAGATATTTCAAAATAAGAGTGTGTCAACAAGTATGAAACAATATTTATGGATGTTTATTTCATACATTATGCATTTGTCTGAACCTGGCCCGACATGTCCGGTCCCAATGAGTTATGTCAGGCTCAGGTCGAGTATCCACAGATGGTTAGCTGAGTGCAGTGCTGAGTTGCACGATATTAGGAAAACGTGATATGTGATAAAGTTGTTGGATATTGTTATGACCATATGACTTGCAATAAATACACAAATGTTTAAGTTTACAGCGCTTAAGTCTTTCTGCTTTGGTTTCACTGCTAACATAGACTACATACAGTGAGTAGCCTATGAAGACACAAAATTAAAATTATTTCCATTCCAACAACTTGGTTTTATTGAAAACATTCCACCTGGCTATAAGGACACAGAAACCACAGACAGCTCCACAGCCACAGCTCTATCAAGTCCGGGGCAGACACCAGGGAGCCAAGCACAGCTCCACTAAGTCCACTTACAGTGTTAACTTTGGGTCAAGTTTGTTTTTTTTTTACAATTTTTAGTGGCTTTGTCAGTAATTCACTGCTCTTCTGTGTCTCTGTCATTCGCCCCATCATGTCCTCCGGCTCTACTTACAAAGACTAAATGTACAAATTCTATTCTTTTTACCGCTCATAGTGATGAATTTGGGGAGTCAACACAAAATCTTACAGCAGCAATCCTAAGCGTTCACTTTGCGTGTTGACGGTGGACTTCAACGGTCAGAGGTTCTTGGGACCCGTGCTGTGCTTTCTTTGGTTCACTCTGGAGTTTATGAGACTTGCGGACGGGAGAGATGTTCTTCCAACAGATTGTGACTTAACGCTACGTTTTAACTTAGTTGTTGCAGTGTGTTGCTGAACAGAACACACAACGCACTTACAAACGGCAAGTGTACGGCCTCACGTTCTTGCCAAATAATCTAGTGTGTGTTTTCTGGCAATGATAAGATAAAAAATTGGTTAAATCTGTCATTATGTCTGTGGTCTCTCCTGTTTTTTAAATTGGTCAATAGTTTAAAATCATCTAGTGTGTACCAGACTTAAATTGGAGATTTTGAGACATTGCCAGGGTGCCTCTTGCCAAATTTCAGCTGTGATGGGCTCCAGCGACCTTCAAAGGGTAAGTGGTACAGCTACTGGATGGATGGATGGATGGATGGATGGATGGACTGATAACACAGTGTCTATTTGTTGCTCCTACAGTTGACCATCCAACATATAACCAGGAAATGTAAGCTGTTTGTACAAGCCATACATACTGGAGTTCTTACTCTGCTCTTCCTGACTGTCTGTGTGTGAGGGGAGGTGTGTTACCACACCCAGCTACTGCAGACAGCAACAGGCCCATCTGAGGGTGACACACATGGAGAATGAGAATTTTACCTTGACCAGGTTTGGCATCTGGGAGGACAGAAGACCTTTGAATTCATCAGTTTTCAGTGTTGGACCATTGTCAGCTGAAGCAGAGTGGAACTGGGTGACCAGCGTGTTAATGGCCTTCTCCAGGTCTGAGAACTGCGGAGAAGAAGTGAAAGAAAAAAATTAAGGAAGAGGGAATGCGTTTGACACTAGCACACACAAATACCACTTCTATCATAAAGGATATTGCCCTCTAACGGGCTTTCTAATTGGCTATTCATTCTAAAGCTACACCTGAGCAGAGGCAACTAATTTAGGTACCAACCAATGAGCAGGAAGAATGTAAAATTTTTATCTTATCTTTATTTGACAAACAAGCAGTATGAGCATCACACAGACATGCACACACACATACAGAGTGTTCCAAGTGGAGACGTTACAGTGGACATAAGTGACAATGCTTTATAGTTTTTGTGCAGTAAAAGAGAAAAAAGCCAATTAAGTCCTTTATCAAACACCTGTAGAAAATAAACCGTTTCAACTGTTTAGTCCACAGTCTCAAGGTGACATGTTTTACACAAACACAGCACACTGTTCAAGCTAATTGAATGGTGAAGAGAAGCTAAAATAAAAGCTGATGTGCTCAAAATGTTTCTGAGCCTTCAACATACATCATTTATTGTTTGAGACAAACCCACCTAATGTTTTAATTCGTCTTTCTGTCTAAACTTCACTCAGGAATATTATTGAGTTTAGTGAAATGTTAGGTTTGTTTTTAGTGACAAATTGTTAAATTGGACTTCCTGCAGTAACATTTATGATTAATATGTTTCTCTCTATCATATATTTTATCCATGGATCACATTTGTGGTTTATCATCATTCTCTCCTCCCTTGTGTGAAACAAAGGGAATGTTCTTTCTCAATTTTGTAATTGCTAATTCTCCAACTCCAAATAACTAACTACATGTTTATGATCAGGTAGACAAACACATTCAAATAAGAAATACCACATAAAAACAATTGGAATTATGGCATTAGACAGAAGTAGAAGCACCAAATTTGGGCTTTTATGGCCAAATTTTTCTTTTGCTTGGACGCCCCCTAGCTGGCTACTTTTTCCCACTGACTTGCTACTTCATATCAATGTGGAATGTTTTGGAACAGTGCCCTTTTACAGCTGTTTCTCTGCAAAGATTTGTTGCTGGAAATAACACAGATGAAGAGGGGGTTGAAACAAATCTTTAAATAGGCTGTAAAACCAAAACTACAAGCGAAAAAGACTGAAAAACAGGACAGAGCTTTGGAGTTGGTAAGAATATATTTTGTATGATGGTAAATTGATTCAGTGTTGATATTAATGTGGATTTGAACATCAGTAAAGTTGGTTGTCTCCTCTCAGAGGGACACACTCCAGTTTTGCTACAGTTATTCAATACATGTAGGCCAACAGCTCTGTCAAAACCACACCCTTTCTGACTGATGTACCACAAGCCACTGCAAGCCCTCTTTACCTCAACCAAAACCCTCCCAGACTGCACCATTATCCTGACTGTAGACAGGGCATTGTGTTGTACTACCGTACAACATTTCAACACTTCATTACCTAAATATTACATTCAGATTATGTAAATATAAAAATCCCAAATAAGTCAAATCTATCAAGACTACAATGTTTTGTATTTGTGTTACAAAATAATCACTTATTAACCTTCATTAGAAAGTAAATTAATGGATTGAGATTTAGTTTCAGTAAGAGCAAATCAGGACAGACTCCCTGGTTTGTTTCATTAGCTTGTTAGTTTCTTGTTAAAGTGACTGATCCATTACCACGCCCAACTACAAACATTTCTCACAGCTCACAATTGGTCTGAAACTCTTCACAGCCACAGTCAGAACTTTTAGGCTTTACAATAATCTTTTTTAAAAAAAATATCCTCTCCCTGCTGTATTTATCATATATGTTCAGCTTCAGGGTGTAGCTGATTGTAGTCTATTGATTTGGGCTGATCCTCTGAGGAAAGAACCTTAATTGTTAATATTATTACTATTCTTATCATTATTCAGGACAGGGAGGTGGCACCCTGCCTACTAGAAGCTGACAGGCCGTCTATGACGCCTGAACACGAGGTTGTTCGCTTAAATTAAGACTATGCAGCAGAGGAAAAGTTCCTGAAATAAAGAGGATGTCATTCTGCATTGCACAATCCCGGATCGTCACCTGGGCTCCACTTACAAAAAGAGCCACAACCCGAGTCACAGACTGTTTTTTTTTTTAAATTACAGCTATACAAGAGTTCTGATTGGTTAAGTTACTGGTATAAAGTTGTCAGAGATTAGCGCAGTTAAAGTTGTGAGAACAGAGTGGGCTCTTGTGTCAACATTGACTGCTCCACAGTAATGGTTCTCAGGGAGGGGCCGCGTCTTCAACGTCTCCATTAAAATAAGTTGAAGGAAGAACTCGAGGCTCCTGAGCTCTGGTTTAGCCCTGATCAACATCACCCAGCAGCCTCCCTATATCTTGTGCAATTATTGATCCTGAAACGGTTGAAGTGGGGAACCGTCGTTTAATGACTCGCCCCTACTCTGATTACGTGTCTTGTACAGTTTATAAAGTTCGCCCATTTGAAGGAAGTTGGGAGGAAAAATCGTTTCCTCGACATAAAACTTGGAATACAACGTTTAAAAAAAATCCTCATTAGCGGGTTTGGATTGTCAGAGATAAAAGGAGAGTTTAAGTATCGGTTCATACCTGAGGCATGTCGACTGGGAGTTTTCTTCCTGCGTTTACAGCTGCCTGTTGTTGCCGTTGCCGCTGCTGCTGCTGCTGTGTGTCAGTGAAGCTGCTCTGTCACCAGCTGGCAACTGTCCTGGATCCTCCCACAGCATGAGAGCAGCCAGGAAGGAGCAGAGATCCGAGGCAGCACCACCAACATACCTCTCGTCAATCAACACCATTGTGCTCCAGAATACCAATGTTCGTTGATATAAGAAAGACTAATTGCATCCACCTCTAGTGTCACCCAAATGTTTCAGCCTTCATTGGTTAACAAGACAGTATACACCATTCCTTCAGTGGTACGCGAAAACAGAGGAAACCAATAAATGGTACCGCCCTTATCAGACACGGTATTATAACCATGAAATGATCACATGCGAAATTCAGTTTCAGGTGCATGTCGATATGTACTTCATTCTACAGCCATGTGTTACATCAGGATCAGTGGAATATCCAATTTTCAGGAAAAGTTTAACTCCAAAATTAAAAAAACGACAACACGTGATATGTTTGGATCCTCCACTGGAGCTCAGCTCACATTCACCAGGCAACTCATTCCACATCTGGAAACCTTTAGTAAGAATTGGACACTATTGTTTTACGCAATAACAGCCTGCAAGTTTAGGCTGGTATTCTTCTTCTCTTCCAGACTGTTACTAAGTTAACCTTTTCACTACCGGCTGCTTATATGACAGATACTTGTGATACATCAGCTTTATAGCAAACCTGTCCAGACTGCATGTGAGACTTTCAGACTGTGGGAAATGCTGGTTGGAAAGGAGTTTTTTTTTTTAAATTTAAAATGGAGGGAGACAGGGAGGGAGAATAAAACTGGCATGACTACATTCTTTCTATTCAGTTTATGACCTCTAACAGTCAGTGGGGTAGGTGCAGAAGTTAGGGGTAAGCTTAAAGTTGGCTTAAAGTAGCCACAAGAATTTATCTAAGGAGAAAATCTTGCACACGCACAACTCAAACAGAACTCTAGCAGGCAGAGGACCTGCAGTGTAAACTAAAAGAGAGCATGTAGGTAACTGTCGACAGCAACTGACATCCTCGGGGTAAAAGGTGTGTCACAAAAAAGTATTTCAATGATCAGGGACCCACCTCCTTACCCCTATTTCTCCTCCATGACTATCTGAGTGGGAGGAGTTGATGCCACACCCAATCGAAGAAGCCGCAGTGAATTGTTTCAGTATGAGAACATCATCCTTTCCCACTGTTTCATCCTCTGTGACACCGCACTGAGCTGCTCCCAGATGTTTTGCATTAATACACAGACACACACATGAATATATAAAAACAGACATATATTAAACTTTCAGTGAACATCCCTACTATAATAAAAAGTGCGCCCCAAGAAAATACTTTTAAGAAAAAGTTTCAAAATTTTGGGAACCATTAAAAACTATGTGGGTGTAAACACACACATGCATGCAGGGGTTATTGTTAGACCCTGGCCGCCAGGTCAAAATCCTTTCCCATTTGACCTATTGACAATAATGCACCTCTTTAGCAGCTGGTATGTTTGAGTATGTGTGTCTTTTACTGTAATTCAGAGTGTCCACACTATAAAAACTGAACCACCAGTGTGAATAAAAAGGAAACCTCATGTATGGTGCCACTCATGTGGTTATGGAGAAGGGAGAGTATATAGATAACATCCTTAGTTCTCTAGTGGTTTGTGATAATGATGCCAGAAAACACTGATCAACTTTTAAGTATATATGTTTCTCATGATCCATCCTCAGTATAAACATATTCAGTTTGTCACCTTTGATTCAATTTCTATTCTATGTAGGTACTGTGCAGCACAGTCACCACCTTGACTAGAGATCTCTCTCTCTCTCTCTCAATTTTAATTCTATAGGATTTAATGGCATGACATTAGAATGTGTTGCCAAAGCACAATTACAATTATATTATCATATTATTACTACAATAATGTATGCAGAAATATTCCAAAGGTAAATTATAAGGAATAACAGTGAAAAACAACCCAATGAGTGAAAAAAAAACCACACAAAAAAAACATAGGAGATTGTGGTGAGTAAGCACGATATTTTACATGTCTATGTCCCACTGGTGTCTCTTTTCATGTGGCAGGAAGTGACATATTTAGCTGCCAGCACTGCACATTCTTTGTTTCCCTCTAGAATGAGGGGTAATTTCTCCCTTTCTGTCAGACTTTGGAATTTTTTTTTCTTTTTTCCTGGAATTTCTCTATTGTCTCTGTATTTTCGTAGTTGTGTGCGGAAGTGTAGTCTCTACAGCTCCCTCATCACAGCAAGAGCATAGCCTCTCCTCTCTGGGCAGCCACTTTTGCCTGTCTGCCCCCTATTGCCAGAACGGAGATCCTCTGGAGATTCTGTAGGGGCTGTATGTGTGAAAGCAAATGTTTGAGTGACAGCCACAGGACTTTCACTACCCAGTCCCTGAGTATAAAGTCCGACTGTTGAGCCAAAAATGAGAACACAACAGGAGATCCTCAGCAGGATTCACTGCAAGCATTGCATGACTTTTCTAACACACGACAGATACACAAATGAAAAAGACATAATACAAAAACAGTGGTGCCACGCACGTAGAAGGCACAGACGCGTATATCAAGAGAGCTTTTAGTGATGGGGGCTGACGCCTTTTTTGATGTGATATAAACAAAAACATGTGTGTCAGATGTAGAAAATGTGCCTCCCTAATCCAAACTGGGAGCTGGTTCCACAGGAGAGGAGCCTGGTTGATGAGAGGTACCGCATGTATTGCTTTACCTTGACAAGCTTCACTGAATTTTAAATAAACAGGTGAACAGCTCTTTGTGCAACAGTGGTTATGCAGCTTCAGGGTTCTGCAGACTGTGTTCTGCAGCCAGTCTTTACCTGATGCAGCTCAATTACTACAGGTCACTTCTGCTGTTTCAGAAAGAAAGCTGCAGCCGGCACTACCACAGGCCAAGCAAACAGCACATTCCAAATATACATGTATACAATGGGCACTGCACTGTATACAGGAAAAGGAAGAGAAAAGCAGGTGTTATAGCTGTTCACTTGTTATGATGTGATGTGATAAATTTGTTAGAAAATTTGTTGAGACTCTTGATAAAATGAGTGCATATAAAGAAAAAAAGGGAAACTTTATTGACCATTTTCTAAAATTAAGCACATTTTTAAATGCATTTGAAAAAAGTGTTTCTGTAGCATATGAATATATCTAATACATTTTTTTAGAAAGTGCGTCGTCATCTTATCTGACTCATATACTCAAATATTTACTCTGGATATACATTAAGGTTTACACGACATTCAAAATGTTCAACTCTGCTAGCAGAAAAGACTACCACAGATAAATCATTTAATTATTTAATCTGTAATTACAAACTTTTGTGTTCATTCAGAACATGTCAGTTTATATACTCGCTGCTCAGCTGAAGGTGAAATCCCTCCAGGTGTTCTTTAAGTTTCTCCCTCACATCTTCTCTCCTTTCTAACACTGCACTGTTGATAACAGAACGCTGGTCACTGTGTTCATCATCACAGGCTGTTTCAACTCTGCCCAACCCTCCACTGTTCTTTGTTGTGTGTCCCAAGTATCTTTTAAAATCTAGTTCTGACACCAATATAGTCTGTGATTCATCAGCGACCCCCTCTGTCATGAGAAAGCTTTGTAATCCCTCTTCAGCAGGAACAGGGAACACAATGACCTGGCCCTCAGTACTGTCCTGAATCCAAAACAGCTGCTGCTGCAGGTCCACAGCTTCAAAGTTCCCTTCATTTGTGTCAGAGATGAACAGCTTCTGCTGAGAGTGTAGAAACTGTAAACTCTGCTTGTGAGTAGCAGGCACAGACACTCCAGCAGGGATTACATGTTGAAGGCTTGGAGTCTGGACCAGGACTTGGGAATGTGCAAAACCATTGGTTTCTACAGTTTTTTTAAGAGGTCTTTCCAGCCTTACATTCTGTATATCTTTGGTATTTTCGGCTCTGCCAAATATACTGGTTTCAACACTTCTCTGAATCCTTTCTGGTTCTTCATGCACTGTGGGCTCGACATCTTTCTCAGTCTTTGAAAGTGTGAGTGCTACCTGACCACCAACTTGAACCTGCCCTCTCCCACAGTAAAAACAATGTCCCTTGTCCTCCTCAGACCAGCTGTTAGTGTCTGAAAGAAAATGACGACCAAACTCCATGTGGTCCACACATTTGTCCTCAAACAACCCTGTCTCCTCTTGGTTAGAACATTCTTTCCCTCGTCTCCTCTTTCTCCCAAGTGTCCCCTTGTGTTTACAACCATCTTGTGACGCCAGTAGTGTGTTCTTCAACCGTTTATCCCGGAGCCTCAGCACAGTGCTCCGCAAGCGGTTCTCCCTGCGCCTGGTTGCATGCAGCTGTCGCAAGGCCTTCTCTAGGTAGTCAACAGCCTGGTCATACCTTCTCCTCCATAGCAGGGGGCAGAGCTGAGCATAGCTGTGCTCTTTTGACAGGTAGAAGCCTGGACGAGGGGGCAGGCGCCTCATGTAACGTGATGGGGAGATGGAACGAGACTCTGGTGGTGGTGACGAAGCATGTTCTTGCGGTGAGAGCTCCCCCACCCATGATGGCTCTCGAAGAGACGCAGGGTTCTTTTCGTTAGTCTCCTCAGATGCGTCCGCCAACCTCTGGACTGTGACTTTGTCTGAAGACGGATACTGGTCTGTGACATGTGGAGTGACCTCCTGGTTACCTGAGCAGGGACTTTGCCTAGAGACAAAACAATACAGTCACTTTCCCATTGACACAACTTATAGATGGGGGGACAAACTGAAGAATAAACTAGCAAAATAATAAACCTGCACATTATATTTCTAGTACCCTTATCAGCTCTACAGCTGATGCTGTACAGTACAGCACTTGTTATTGTTGTGTTTCTTGTGCACTGGGTCTCGTACGTTGTGATTAATAGAGTTAATTATTATAAAGGTAGGCTACAGTACATGCAGACCTTTAGAGGGGCAGGTGCTCGAAGTAATAAAGGGGTACATGGAAAAAGACTTTCAAAGACCATAAGCAAACATAATTTTCATTACAACCTGTTTAATTGTAGCAACCCATATTCAACAGAATAATACATGAAATCTTAGATCAATTATCAGTATTATACTATATCAGGGGTCAGCAGGGAAGTTTGGCTGAGGGCCAATTTTCATTTTGACCAGCAGAGGGTGGGTTAGAATACTGTATAAGCAAAGGCAAACTCAAGAAATGAATGACAAAATACACCTGATTGTGACAGACAGTACGTATAGAATGTTTAGAAAACTGCTTCATGGTTGTCAAATTGTGTTGTGCAGTCAGAAATAAAAGGGCCACAGATGTGGTGCCGTCTAAATTTTGCACAACATTGGGGAATAGCCTACAACAGTAGTGACACATTTGCCCTGTCCGAATTCACCCCTTAGTATATTCAGGACACACCTAAATAAGAAGGGGTAGACTTTTGTAGAATTTTGTGCTAAATGAGTAATCTTCTATGTCCCATAGATGAAGTTTGATAAAAACGTCCCTACTCATGGTAGCGAGTGGTGTAACAATTCCTAGGAGAAGATTTTCTAACCCTCTCCCTCCTGGCTCTGTTTGGACACTACCAGCAGGGGCACTTCACATCTAGGGCAAGGGCAAGGCACAGGATTTGGCAGAAGGGCGATCTGCCAAAACTAACATAATTATAATTTTACAGGCTCAGAATCATTTATATTCTCTGTTCAGAGAAAATACAAGGAGATTAGATTAGATCGAACTTTATGGATCCCTTTGGAAGACTCCATCAGGGAAATTAAAAAAGGATGGTATTCCCAGATTTTACTCTTGATTAAAAAAGAGAAAATTATTTTTACCTGACAAGGATGTCTTCTTGTTTCTGCGCTGTTCCTGTCCTTTTGCATTTTATTTTTGAAGAGGAATCAAAAACTGTAGGAAACGCATCTTCTTTTAGTCTTCGGATCCCACTGTGAGTGAAAAGGCCAAACCCATTTCAGGAAGCATTTTGAACATTGTCTAGAGTAGATGTATGATTGATAGTTTCTATGATATCTTGATTTTGCAGACCTGCATCCAGTCAACTCAAAGCTCTCTGGGGTGAAGTGTTTGGAACAGAAGTAGACAAAGTCAGTCTGAGGATCCCAGGAGCCTGCACGGTGGGAGTTGGTGATCCAAAGGTTCCTCCGAGTGGCGCCTTTCGGTAATCTGGCCATCACAATGACTAATTGTTATTGATCAATATAACACCATCTTATCATTACATTTGTCACTTTTAATAGTCAAGTTCATGTGAAATAGGGAGACATTTAAGATCATTACAAAAACTTAACACTACAACCATTTAATAATAATAGTGTCATGTGATAAGTGTATTTGTATTGGAACAGTTGAGCATCTTTGCTTGTGATCTTGTTGGCAGTCAGAAATTCACCACAAGCCCAATCCCAAGTTTGAGAAAGAATTAGGTAGAAAAGCTAGGTAGGCGTTCAGCCAAGATGACTCCCAGGGCACAATGCAGAATCCTTAATGAGTTAAAGGAAAACCCTTGACTGAAATGCTTAAAGCTTGAAGGAATCCACATTGAGCCTGGTTCTGCCAGAGGTTTCTCCCTGTTAATGAGGGAGTTTTTCCTCTCCACAGTCGCCTGTGCTTGCTCATTGTGGGAACTGTTGGGTTTCTCTATGTTAVTRTTGTYTTAAGGYCTTGACCTTTAAATGTAAAGTGCCTTGAGATAATGTAAATTATGAATTGGCGCTATATAAATAAAATTGAATTGAATTGAATTGAATTGAATCTTTGGAGCATCTGTCTTGATGAGACAGCCATATGCAGAACATTGAGAAGTCCTGCCATGGACACCACTGAGTAACCCTAAGCCTACTGCTCTCAAAAAAAGCATGACACTCCACAATGCTTCTTGGAAAACATTCACTGGACTGACAAAACTTAAATTGATTTTTTTGGGGAAGAACACAAAACACTGTAGGGCAGTGGTGTCAAACTCAATCACAGAGAGGGCCAAAATTAAAAACTGGGACTACATCCAGGGCCAAACAGGGTCAACATTTACTAAACAGGATAGACAGGATATTGGATAAAGTGCAAAAAGAAAACATATTTAGGTAGGCTACATTCTTCTTTTATTAATTTTTTTAGCCAGTTCATTTAAGTTGGGGGTTAGGTTCTTTGCTGTGGAAACCCTCAAGATGGAGTAAAAGGTGTGCATCAGTGAGATGACTCCTGTGTGGGTTTTTGTTCATCTTCATCACAGAGAAAAGCATGTGGGGTAACTTGATGGAGCACGACAGCAGCAGACAGGCACTGGGATCTCTGGAACGCTGGAAAAATAATTTAATATCATCAAATACTCTGTGAGTGAAGGGAGAGGAGCCCTCACTCTGTGTGCGTCTAGCCGGGCATTTCCACCCTGGCTTGGCCTATGGAGCCTGTGCACACCGCCAGTGTGCATCCTATTTACCTGTGGGCCAGTTAAGATACAGATATATTTTATCGTGGTCCAGATATAATTGTACCACAGGCCAGCAGTGGCCCACAGGCCTTGAGTTTGACATCTCTGCTGTAGTGTAAAAAGGCACTGCTTACAAACAGAAACTGAAGTGGGGTTGAATCATGACTTAGGACTGCTTTGCTGCCTTACAGCTCATTAAGGGAAAATTAATTCCCAAGTTTATTAAAGCATCCTACAGGACAATGTCAGGGTGGCTGTCCCTGTCAACCAGCTGAAGCTTAGTAGTGGTTGGGTGATGCAGCAGGACAATTACCGTCAAATCTTAGTAGCAGCTACAGAAAAAGAAGAAAAAAAGATGACAAGAATGAGCCTTCTGGGATGGCCTAAGTAGAGCTCTGACCATAACTCAATAGAGAGTGGAATAACCTCAAATGAGCCATTCCCACCAGACATCCTTTATAATACGGCTGAGCAAAAGTTCTGTACGGACGAACGGTCAAACATTCCTCCTGAACATTGTGCAGGTCGGATCCGCAGCTACCAGATCACCTGCTTGAGGTTATTGCTGCCAAAGACGGTTCCACCTACTATTAATTCTAAGGGTTCACTTCACTGTTAAATACCAAGCCTCACTTACATTTCTTTGTAATGAAGGTTTGATAATGAGACCTTAAGGCTTATTGACGATAGACAGACAGACAGAAAGACATGGCAGGCAGGCAGACACAATTAAATCCAAATAAAATAAGAATTGTGGTGATGTGTTAAAAAAAAGCATGAATGTGTAAAAAAAGATGTTATAAAAGTACGGTACATGTGTAAAAATGTGATCAACAACAATTTTTTAAGTATGAATGGAATACTGTACTGTAATGCACCTGATAAGTATTCTGCCATGTTGCGCAAAACTCAGCAGCAAACTCTGTGTAAACAAACACAGCTGATCGTCATCTGTGCTGCGGCTGCGCACCTCGGTGACGTCACCCCAGTGAAAGCCCGGGATGTAAATAAAGCAACTTGGACTCACAGGGGACTAGTGCTAGCGATTCATAGTAAATAAAGAGTTTTGCGGCAGATAATGAGTTATTTAGAGGCTGTATTGTTGGTGCCCCAATCACTTGCGTTGTATGGATATATGCCGATTGCGTGTGGGTCTTAAAGCGTCCGAAGGACTCCAACTTACTCCAAACCTTTATGGGTGAGTAGATCTACATACCATATGCTGGAAATAAGGTCCAGGTTGAAAAAAACAGAACTTCTCCTTTAACATGGGAGTGGAAATGAAAACCAAGCCATGGAACGGCTGCAACTAAACAGCTTGGGACCAGCGTGCTCCTCAGGCACAGTTTAGTCCCAGCAGTCTCAGTACCAGTTGCCTGTGCCAAATGGCTAGGGACGACCACAGTCTTAGCCATCAGGAAACATCTGTGACAAAAGTGTATGTAGTCATCGCTCATAGCTTTAAAACCAACATTAGTTAGCTTTAGCCAGCAAATTGGTGATTTCAAAAGAGTTTGTTGTGATAAGTGCTGATGCTGTTTTCAATGTGCTGTAAACAAAAACTCTTGATCTCTGCTGCAGAATGAATACCTTACATCCTGCCACTGCATGCTCCACAACCCCTCACCTGAATCCTCCAGAGGATTTATTACTGTTATGAACGCGTCTCTCTTCCGAATCGCGAATCTTCCGCTGCGTTGTATACGTGTGAAAGGAAACCTCTGTAGAAAGTCCGGACCCAATTCTTCTTAGTCCCTGATGTTTAACAAAATGTGGAAAATGCTCACCTGTGAAAGGTGATCCCAGCATTACGAGTTTCACGGTTGTCCCGGGATTTGCAGCCACCTGCTGAACAATGTCTTGGCATCTGAAAGTGACAGTGTAGAGAGGAAAAGATGTGACTTTTTCCATTTTGATATTATTTGACATTTAGTTGATTATAAATATGAAAATATTTCAGTCTGAATGTTTGTGGTTCTTTGAGAAGTGTGTCTAATATTTCTGCCTGCTCAAGTTAGTAAATGTAGTTGGGTGAATATTGTAGTCTAGTTCAGTGTTTTTAAACCTTTTTTGAGCCACGGCACATTTTTTTACATTAAAAAAATCCCGCGGCACACCACCATTCAAAAAAGTTACTAAATTACACATTGTAGCTTAATGCAGCACATGACGATATAATTTCTGAATTTACTCACTTAGTGTGAAACCTGGGCCTGTTTAGATGAACACAAAGCTGATATCCTGGCAGGAATTGAAGAGAGGCACACACAAAGCTCTTCCTCAACAGCTCTCAGTCTCTCTCTGTTTTTAGTTTTTATAGCAGTCATGCTTGAAAAGCTCAGCTCACATAGATATGTTGTGTAAAATGGGAGCAATGTTGAAATGGCTCTGTTTGCCAGAATGAGAAACTCTTTGGCAGCAGCCAACCAAAAACTGTCCAAAGGTAGATCAGCAAAGCTTAGCTATAAACCACGGTCTTGTCTCAGTTCAGTTAGTTCCTCCTGCTCCTGCAAGGTCATGTCCTTTCCAAAGACTGCTGCTGAGCTGTATGGGTCCCTAACCCAGTCAAGGGATTCAGTGACGATTGAGGGGAAATAAAATGACAACTTCTCCTCAAGAGTTTTCAAATGTTTACCTATTATCTCACACAGTGCAGCAGTGTTGACATCATCTTGCCATTTTTGGGTGAGGGGGAACATGCCAAGGTTGCCACTTTCAAGATGTTCCTCCCCCAGCTCATACACACGGGCCAGCACTTTGCCACGCGACAGCCATCAGACTTGTGTATGGAGCAATAAGGTTGTATGCTGTTCTCCCATTTCCTCACACAAAGATGCAAATATGCGGCTTTTCAGGGGTCTTGACTTTACAAAGTTTACCATCCGCACGACATCATCCAACACAGGAGACAGGTCTGCTGGTAAAGTCTTTGCAACGAGCGCCTCGCGGTGCAAAAAACAGTGCGTAACAATAATATCTGGGGGTTTCTCTTTAACTCTGCTAACGAAGCCTTTGGTGCGCCTGACCATGGCTGCTGCTACGTCAGTGCAGACACTCGTGCAGTTTTCCCACTGAAGTCCTCTTTGTTCAAAATATTCTGATGTGACCCGAAAGATTTCCTCTCCCGTTGTTTTTTCCGGCAGTGCTTTGCAAAATAGAAAGTTTTCTCTGATGGCGTCTCCATCCACAAAACGCACATTGGCCAAGAGTTGAGCATGTCCACTAATGTCTGTAGACTCATCAAGTTGCAATGCAAACGTGACCTGCAAAGAATTTCCAAAGAATTAGGCCCAGACTTTCTCTATAGGTTGTCTTTCACACATGAATAATGCAGCAGAAGATTCTCCTGATGATTCAGGTGAGGGGTTGTGCAGCAGGCAGATACAGGATGTAAGATATATATTCTGCTACAAAGATCACGTATTCTACATCACAGACACCATTCGTTGGGCCTTATCACCAAAAGCTTGACATCTTTGTCAGATCCAGGGCCACGACTGCGACCACATCGTGGATTATGATGGTGGATCGTGAATCAGAGATCACGATCATAATGGAGGATCCTGTATTGTGCTGGCTGGTCATGATGGTAATGGTGGATCCTGTATCATGCTGGCTGATCGCGATAGTAATGGCGGATCCTGTATCATGCTGGCATCTGATAGTATTGGTGGACCATGATGGAGGTGGCAGCTGATGGTGGACTATGACTACAACAAGACTGCTTGATAAACAATATGTCTCCTCAGATACTCAACCATTACTGACAATAATTCCTCAATTAATTTACCTTCCATCATGCTACAAACTACTTACTCTAACCAATGCTGTAATTACTCTGCTATTTCTCTGACATTCTCCATTACACGTGGCATCTATTGCACTTCTGTCTCTCCTGGGAGAGGGATCCCTCACATGTGGCTCTCTCTGAGGTTTCTACGTTTTTTTTTACCTGTTAAAAGTTTTTTTGGTATTTTTCCTTCCTCTTGTTGAGGATTAAGGGCAGAGGATGTCACAGCTTGTTAAAGCCCTATGAGACAAATTGTAATTAGTGAATATGGGCTATACAAATAAAATTTGATTGATTGATTGATTGATCTTTGTCAGTGTCTTCTACATGTATGGGTCTTCTAATTTCTTCTGAGATATTTCTTTTCATTTGTTTAATCTGTTGCTTGTCATTAACACACCCACTCGTTCTTGGTGAATCCTGCAGAGCATATCATGCTGTTATCTCCTGTTGGCGCCTCTGGACTTTCTGCAGACTTAAACCACTCTTGAGAATGTTTGGAGGATCTCCAGGGTTCAGTGCCTGCCTGAAAGCAGCTTTTAACCAGCCATATCTTATATAATCATATATATTATTCTCATATTGTTTTAAAGCAATGTATCTAAACAGTATGATAAACATCCAAATAAAAAAATAAAAGCATTATGAGTGAATGTATGAGTACAACAGTGTAAGTTGAATTTAGTTAGAATTAAGTTTACATTTCATCAAAGTAAGCTTACAAGGTCATAATGCCAAAATGTGATCTTTGGTTTTGAGTTTTCAACATAGAAAATGGCTCAATCCCATTTCACCCCTTGGCACTACCCTTTAGCCCTTCCCCTTCCTTTTGCATGTTCACATGTAGAGGGGTAGGCTGTCCCAATATTTGTTGGGACCATAGACTGTGGTTGGGACGGAGGGTTAGGGCTTTATAGCCCTCCAAACTGAGATTTTTCCCACCCTCACTTCAAACCTAGGGGTACCCAGAAAACCTTGCGAATCACTGGCAAGCTGGGAGAGAGACCCACAAATGTTGATTCACCTGCATTAGCGTGAATCTTATTAGGATATTAAAGGTTTGTCAATTTTGTAACTGCAGACAATAGCATTGGTTTATTTAAGATCTCCACAATGTTAAACGACATCCCCAGCAAAACCTTTTGCCTCGTCTGATGATATAACAGCTTCTATATAATTGACTTTCTCTGTAGTTTTACTTTCACACGAGCAACACAGCAGGGGTTCCTGCGCAGACATTTTTGTTCACAACAATAAATTCTACAGCAGGCAGAAGCAGGATGTAATGTATTAATTCTGCTGCAGAGATCACAGGATTTTGTTTACAGCACATCAACAATGGTTTGACTCATCAACACAAACTCTTATGACATCTTCGTCTGTGTACTGAGTAGGGATGTCACGATATTAAATTTTGGTGCCACGATTGTCAAAGGAAATATCACGGCTTCACGGTTTTCGTGATTATCGATACTATAGAAGAAAAAAGACTCACAACAAGCAATATGAAGCTAATAGATAGCTAATAATATAGCTTATGAACCAAAATATGTATTGTTATCATCAACTTTATCCAGTTAGATTTTATAGTGTAATGTTTATCTATTTAAAAGTAATTTATGTAAGCTATTTTATTTAGTTACCTTATTGCGAAAGGTTGGTCACTAAATTTGAGTGTCCTGTTATAAGCTGTGTATCTGTGTGGGAGTTTTATTTTGAAGGATCAGCAAAGGAGGTGGTTCTGTTATGGGAGCGACATGTTGACTAGTTTTGAAAAGCTAAATGTGTCCTTGTTCAAGCCTCATTCTTCATGTCCTTATTATACTTTTCAGTACAGGTGAATTAAACTCTTGGCTACATTTATAACAGTTAATAGGAAGAGAGAGAGTCGGGTGTGTGCGTCAGCCGCTCCTGACACAGTTGGAAAAACCAGTTGGAAAGTTTTGAGTAAATACAGACATGAATTTAGCCCAGTGCAGCTCGTCTGCTGTATGTGACAGAGACTGTGAGTGACAGACAGACCTCTGGTGACACAGGTTGCTCTCTGTCAAACAGAGGCACACCCAGAATTAACTTTACAATATCATCTTGACAATTCACACTTTCACTGTGACTACCAAGGATTTTGGTGCAACATTTATCATTCAGACTAGTCAAATCAATCTTTCAACATTTGTAATTACATCATAAGATTCAAACTATTTTTGTCATTCATTTTTAGTTTCTCATTATATATACATCTACCATTAAGTGGAATTATTATTTTAAATCATGTTATATTATATTCTTTAATTCCAGTTTCAGATACAATTTAATTGTGACGAGTCATCTAAAATTAACCTAAATTCTAACCTTAAATTGAGTCTTAACTAGTCAGTGTGGTGTTGTAGATATCATGAGCTAGAATTAAGACATCTTGAATGTGGATTATGACTAGTCAGCATTAAAAAAAACTAAGCTGAAGCTGTCTAATACATATAGAAACAGCACTGTGCAAGAATAGCGATAAAAATACAACCCACAATAGCATTACTTATTTTACACCAACAAAGTCCTGAACTCAATTGTCTTTACAGCTGAAAATCTTAACTAAAGTGTACAGTGTCCATGTGTAAATACATAACTAAATGTCAGAAGGAGACCAATACATGTTATACTCTGTAGAGAGAAATAAACAGCAGAAAATAAATCTGAATCAGAAGCTGCAGCTGGAGGTAACTGCTGACTCGCGATATTTCAGGGTCATGTGACATGATGACGCTCTGCAGCGCTGGAAAAAATCTGACACATTTTCTGCCGTTACCCGCCTCCAGAGGGTCCAGCCTGTATCAGAGCGCTGCGCAGAGCCCCATACAGACGAAGGCAACTCGAGGGCACGATTGCAATTGAATTGTGCCCTGAAAGTCGGAGGAGAGCGGCTCAGAAACAGGGCTGGTCGACTATGTTGACATTGTTGTTACCAGCTGAGTCTCGTCACGTCTGACACTTGCAGCTGACGCGCGATGGGACCAAAAGCAACGTCAACATAAACTAAACACTACGTTGTCCTGCTAACACCAGACTTGACCACGTCAAACAAAGGACGCCACACAGTAACTGGTTATATATACAAATTAAAGTGATACTCCGCACAGCAAAGTTCGACCTCACGAAAATGGCCGATCTATCCTTCACCCACCTTTCCTCCCCTTCCTCCTCGTCTTTCTTCCTCTGATGGCGAATCGCAGCGGGCGGATGATTGCTGCCACCAGCTGAAGCGTGAGAGTGCTACAATTGTCTGTGAAAATTGTTAAAATCCAAATGTTGAATCCTTTTCTCTTACAGTTTTTATGCTGCGGTTGAACAGATTATTTTGCTAAGGAAGGTTTGGGGGAAGTGACCCGGAAGTATTTCAGCGGAAGCCATAAAAACGTCGTTCAAATTCTATATAAAAAACTTTATTAAAAAAGAAACATTTACAAACATTGTTGCGGAGACATTACAACATTTAACGTTATTTTGATACAATTGCAGCACACACACACAATGACTGTCAGGTGCCAGGGGTGCAGCTTAAAGGAAATAAAACTCTGTAATAATTGCCAAACACAGTAAGTTCTAACTGTCTTCTTATTCTTAATTCCTGTAAATGTGATGCCATTTTGATGTAGTTCTTGATAAAAAAGTCTGTTTAGAGTGCATCTATATCTTCTTGTGAAAGTAGTATTTCCCACATGACAAAATCAATTGGACAAATAATATAATATCATAAATCACCTCATTACAGTCGGAACATAGAAATATTTATCTATCCTGTAACTTGAAATTGAATCGAAAAGTTTTTCAATTTCGAACTTGAACATCCACCCAAAAAAAAGGGGGGGGGGGTATTAAATATTAATTATATATATCTGTACTGACTTTTGCTGGATATATATTTGATGCAACATTTAAAAAGACAGTTAATATCTCTATACAGCAAAGTCCAAAGGCATCTTCTGTGGGGTGAGCTGCAGCCTGTATGAGATTCCTGATGTATTTATTTGAGCATTAATGTTCTGCAATGTCAGCTTCTTCAAGAAATATACCTGAATGTACCTTTCAGTTTCTGCACCTCTAAGAAGCTGCACCACACCCCTTGGCAAATAACATAACTGGTCATTTGGATTTGGAAAATAATTCAATGTATGTCAATAACTTATTTCTTTTTTTAAATTACATTAGATATTTCTAAGGAATAGGATACGTAAACGGATCTGGATATTCCTTCAGCTAACCATTTACGACAAATCTGCCATTAATCTCATGTTAAACTTTTTAGTTGCAAGTTCAACTGTGTGGTTGAAGTTCAATCAATCAAATTGTATTCATATCCACACATCACACTTTTCCTTATAGTGCTTAACAACGTGTGCCATTGTTAGTGACGTATCGTAAGGAGTACAGGTGGCAGCCCTTTAAGGCTATCACTAATGGTTTATCCCTCGTGCGGCCGTGCAACACTAAAAAAACATATGTCCACACCCACATGCTAGGTGGGCGCACCTTGGTATTATTTGGGCTGAGACTGGTCAATCTGCTCCCATTTAATAGCTTTTCTTCAGCCATTTACAAAGCCAGTGAGACCCATAGCTTAAAGGGCTGCGCCTATACTCAGAATCTGGAGTTACGTTACTTAACTAAGGTTAAATGCTCTTCCCCATGCCTGGGAAAGCGCATCCGCGAGCCATGGATTTCCTATGGCTGGCATGTAAACAGACCATGCATGCACAGGAACCTCTGGAGCTATCAGGATCACCAAGTGCCATTCCTTCGATCCTGGTTCTGGCTGATCAATGGAACAGGTGGAAAGGCATAATCGCTTGTAACCATGGAACCCTGTAGGGTAAGTTTCATTTAGGTGCACCAGCAGGTAATTTAGGTGCACCTGAATTTGCACCTAAATTACCTTGTCTTTTGGCACCTCAATAATACACCTATTATACCTTCTCTTGACAGTTCACATATACATTGGTGATTTCTTTAAGAGATAGTTCACAGAAAAATGAAAATTCACCAGTGATTTACCAAATCGATTGATTCCAATCCACAATGTCCTGATTCAAATTCCAATTTGCTTCAATATCTATTCAGTTAAGGATATTTCATTTTCCAATATCAAGTCTGCTTGAATATGAAACAGAATCACAGAGAACTAAAGCTGTAAACTGTGCAACCTCTAACTTTGTGTATTATTACAAATATTAGAGGGCCCATATTCTACAACTTAATGGGATTTCATTTGAGGTATTGGTACCCCCAAGATGATATGACAGTGGTTTAAAGTCGAAAAAACTGCTGCAATGTGTATTTCCTTGTCTTCTCTTCTGCATCTGCCACTGCAGGCAGCACAGGCTGCTTTCGCCTACCTCATTAATTATTTATAAACCCCTCCTGTGATTGGCTGACTGCACTCTGTGTGACAAGCGACGAGGCCTATCAGCTGAAGCCTGTTGGAGACATACGGTAGAGCTTGCTAATTGGCTGACTGCACTTTACACATGACACACGACCAGGCCCATCACCATAAGCCTGTTGGAGACATATGGTAGAGCTCGCTGATTGGCTGACAGCACTTGACTCGTGAAACGTGACCAGGCCTATCAGCGGCCTCATTCTGGCGCATTGACAAACTCTCTAGTAAACAAGAATGGCGACAACCACAGCTGAGAATCACGTTATTATGTTTGGATGCTGCTGTAGAAGACCAGCCACACATTCACAGTTGGTTACAACAGGATGTTTCTGAAGGGTAAATTACACCGTCTCATGTTTGTTCAAGTTTTAGCAGGACAATGAGCCAATAAGGAATAACTTCTAGGTTAACTTCTAGGTTACATAGTTGGGTCAGCAATTCCGTGACCGTGGAGAGCGAAGGTTCATTTCTCACTGGATTTGTCATCTATAAAGGTTAAAGAAAAAAATTAGCTGGGGGGCCCCTCATAAAAATGTGAGAGCCCTGTATCCAAAATGGCTACTGTCAGCCAAGCTGGAAATTAACTTTTTAATGGTTTGGCTCACAGTGATGCATAATACATGGTTTCTGAGACTATTTCGGTCAGAAAATTCATAAATGATGTAGATTTATTGATTTGACCTATTTTTGATTATGTTTTCCATTAGTTACCTGAACTACTATCAGCCAGCCCCACATCAAAGTGATGTGCAAACTCTCTAATGTTTGTTTCCACACGCTCATGTCACTGGAAAATTCCTTGCTGCATTGAGACACTTTGTTTGAGGTAAGTTCTTATACTCAACATTAGTCACTAAAGAAACTTGTAAAGGAACAGCTGAAAAGACAAGTGGATCAGGTGCAGGGTGACATCATATACTGTGAGGGAGAAACGTCAACCAACCTGAGCACTCGCGTGGCTAATGGGGACTATGTCTTCAGACATCCAGAAGCAGATACAATGCTGCTCTCTGCCTATGCAAAGGTGAGAGCCAGTAAGTACACTGGACCTGTTGCACTAGACTGCGAGGACACAGATGTGTATGTCCAAGCAGCTTATATCTCGTAGCAAGTCAGAGGTGATCTGCTGATTAAATGCAAGCATGCGTTAATCAACTGCCATGCCATGCTCTCAGAAGAGGTTGCACATATCATCATACCTCTCCATGTGATCACTGGCAGTGACCACACCTCAGGGTTCTATGGGCATCGGAAGAAGACGGTGTTGGAGAAGGTGAAGACCAATTCTGAGGCAAGAGAGCTCCTGGGACGAGTGGGTGAGAGCCTGGAATTAAAACATGAAGTCAAAGGTATTTGTCCTCTCCATCGTTTATGCTGAGAGTGCAGATGTGAGCTGCAGGCAGGCCAGAGCTTCCAAATGGCACAAACTGAAGAATAAGTTTACAATCCTTCTCCCACCTGATGATGACTCTTTGAATCTTCATATGGAAAGGACAAACTTCCTTTCATAATGAGAGGAGTCAGTGTGGAGATTCAACAGATTCAGATGGAGAGTCTTTTTAGTTAATGTAGCAGGATGTACTGTGAGTGCCTTGCAGCTGATTACAGTCCCAGCCAATCGCTGGGGGGGAAGAATGTATAAAGGCATGCAGAGAGCACCCTCTTGCTTGCCGAAGGCTGGGTGGGGTGATGTCACTTCACTGCGTCCGTCGCTTCCGCTCCCGTGTGGTGGCAGGTAGGCTGTTAGACGCAGCTGCAGTATTTCTCCGTTGTTGTCATTCAGTGTTAATTGTTGTTTTGCTCCATGGAAGTTCGCTTGTGTGTTGCTGTTGGCTGCACGCTGCTCACCGCGTCGTAGGCCCGTTGCTGTCGGCGGCTCCCTGTTTGCCTGCTCGCTGCACATTGCTGGGAGGTGCGCTGCTTAGGCGTGACCTCCGCTCCACGCCGTGTGGTCGGGGACGGCCTGACCAGTAGGTAAAGTGGTGACGCTAGCTTCCTCCTCCAGCCACTCATAAGTTGCTCACGTTTGTTTGTCTGTTATTATTGTTGTAGGGTGAAATAAGTATCGGCGCAGTGCCAGCTGATCGCCGCTGAAGTACTGCTGCTTTGCCTTGACTTGAATTGCTTTTTGCCTCAACTGAAACTGCTCTACGCTTAAGCCTAGTTTATGCTTCTGCCTCGCGTCGACGCAGACCCCTACGCTGTAGCCTGATGCGCACCTCCAAAAAATCCTAACTACGCGTCGCATTGATGCGGACCGCAAGTGCTGTGATTGGTCCGCTCAGAAAGTAAGTTCCGGCAGTTGCTTTTTCCGGTCTTTCTTCCTCGTCGTAAAAACCACCTCTGCAAACGTTTTCTCTGTCGCCCGCGCTTCAACATTTGCAATATAAACATTTGTTCTTCAATATTGATGAGCTCCAACTCCAAATACAGCTGCTCCACCTCGGTCGCCATTGTTTACTGTTGTTTACTTTACGGAAGAAAAAGTGAGGATTCGGCTATAACCACACAAACACACAGCCGCACTCCCCTAGCGGCATGGCGGTGAATTGCAGAGCAATGCGTTCCCTCGGCGCAGAACTTCGAATGCTTAACGACTGCGTCACGTCGACGGCATACCTACTTTACGCGTGAAGCAGAAGCATAAACTATGCTTAAGACGTGATTTGTTCAGCCCCAGCGGTAGCTTGCTTGGCCCGGACAGTTGGTGCGGCTGGCTAAGCACATCGTCGCCTGGCCGAAACTGTGTGCAGCGCTGTTTGGCGGATTTGTATTCAGCCACATTTTAATGTGTGTGTGTGGGTGTGTGTGAGAGAGCAGTGCAGGACCATGTTTATGTATGTTTGTTTGTGTGTTTGTTTTAATTGATCTTTTTGGTCATAGTTATTTCCCTTTTGTAGTAAATTGGTTTTGTGGCACCCCTTAAAGATAATAATTTTCTTAGTTTTGTGTTTACTTTT